GGGCGGCTCTCCGCAGAGGACCAGCTCGCCAGAGCCTGACCCTCGCTGGGGGCTGCCAGGGCCCCTCCTCCTTCCTCGGCTCAGAGAAAAATGGGTTTAATTAAGACTTCCGTGATTAGTCATTTAATCAGTCATTAGGCCGACACAGATGGAGTCAATTAATTTTTTTTACTTGAAAAGATGGTCGCTGCCCGCCAGGCCGCGCTGCCCCCTCCAAGCGCTGGGCCCCGTGACCCCTGTGCAGCTAACGGTGGAGGCAGCAGCGCCGGGCGCGCCCCCTCAACTCCCCAAGCCTGAGTGACACGGGACGACTGGCCTGTCCCCTGCCTCATCTTCCACAAAGGGGCTGAGTCACAAGAACAGCCCACGAGCTGCTGAGAGCTGGCCCCTGGCCCTGCCAGCACCCGCAGACGCTTTGGGCAGCAATCTGGTCAAACACCAGGCCCACTGAGGTCAAGGGGTCTGCCCAAGGACAGGGCTTACGGTGGCAACGTGTCTTTCTCCTGTGCTGTGACCCGTCGGGGCTTATTCCCGGGCTGTGGGGTGGGATATGGTGCAGACAAGCAGCCTTGTGGCTCCTTGCTGGGCTCAGCCAGGGAGGCCCCACTCGCCCAGAGCCTCTGGCCTCTTGCTGGACAGGACGGGCTGCAGGCTTCTACTGTGAACTCACAAACACGGCAGAACCGCCCAGCCTGCCATGGGGGCCGCGTGCCGTGCCGCCCTGGTGGCCAGTGCCGAGGATGCTGGGGCAGCTCCTCCACACCACAACCCACACAGGGGCCGGCCTGCAGGCCTCAGGCAAATGCACCTGTGCAGACCCACATGACATCAGGGTGCCGTCCACAGGCCCTGGCCTAGCCCCAGTTTCTGCACACACAGTGCCCTCCTGTCTGGGCTCTGCCACGTGCCGACCCTTTGGCCAAGCAGGACCTCCTCGGCCCGCCCCTCCCTCACCTGGGCAGTGGGCCTCACCCTGGTCCTAGCCCCAGCCCCCATGCTTGGGGCCTGTTCAGACCTGGCCCAAAGGAGGGGTGGGCTTATCTAAGGCAGGCCTGGGGCCAGGCACGCCAGGGATTAGCGCTCCCACGATGAGAGGGTGGGGTTCAGGAGGGCACATGGGCAGCATGGCTGTGGGGTCCCCAGGCCTTGCAGCATCTCTGCTGCCGGAGCCCATCCTGGGCACAGTCTGCCCTCACTCTAGCTGGCAGGCCCCGCTCAGGGTGGCTTTGGGCCCCGCCTCCCTGGGGAGGTGAGCAGCCCCCCTACCCCTCTGCTGAAAGTCCCTGTGGGTGGGGATTCAGGGAGGAACGAGAGAAATGAGTGGATTGGGCTCTTCACTTCTTTAGAAACTTTTAAAGATTGAAAAATGAGCCCTGTCTTGTCCAAGCAGGAATAATAAACCAAAGCAGGTGTGAGGAGGGCCGGGGCGGGACAGCTGGGCCCGAGGATGTGCCCGCGCTCGGCCGCCCTAATCCCCCTCACGGCACAGCGGGACGTTTCCCGGCTGACGCAGCAGCAGATGGAGGCTGGGCAGCGGCCGTTAACCCTTCACGCGCCCACACTCGTGACCGGCCTGGGACACCCCAAAACAGAGAACACCCCACAGGCTTTCCAGGGTCTGAGGCCGACTGCCCACTGGGGACAGGGCACCTAGGTGGTCCTCGGTGGTCCCCTCTCCCCCAGGCCCAGGACTGAGAGTCCATCAAGCCTTGGCTTCCTGCAACCCGAAAACAGTCACAAAACCACCAGCGGCACCTGGTGTACAGGGGTCCTCAGAGGGAGGGGCCACCATGGCAACGTGACCCCAGTCCCCTGCCCAGCCTGGTGACCAGAG